CACATAGAATGTTGCTCATACGTGATTTACCTACTTCATAATAAGAAACGTTTGTGAACTCACTGATCGCCTGCTGTGTACATTCTGTGATTTACGCCAATCCACCCAGAGTGGAGACGCCGGGTGTCTGTCGTCGTACGACTGCTCAGCCATAAACACTCCTCGGTATAGGTACTCCTATTTCAACACTATTGAACGACCAGATAATTCACCATCCTGGAGCAACCAATGCAGCCAACCATGACCGTATCCCATCCATGTAGTGAAAATGTAGTTCAATACGGAATATTAGGTGTGCTTCAGTGGAAAACCTTGTGCTCTCTAAGGTACGTTAAGAACAGTACAGCGTCACTGACTAGCACATTTTCAATTATCCCTATTCATGCAAATACAGAACAATAAATATGAATAAATATCGATTCAGATCTGGCTTTAGACATGCGTGCATGTTTGAAATAGATCACAGCATCAAATGTTCAATTGATTGCGCACGTGTTGAGGAAGGCAAAGTGGTGCATGGAAGAACCAGGTCCTGGTACAACTTTATTCTGGGCATAAAATAAAGCTGAAAAAGGCCAGCAGGATTATGCAAGATGTCTGCTGCAGCAACATTTCTTTTGCATATCATCAGTTACTTGATGCGACTTACAAATGGACATTATATATGTTTATGGGGTATGGTGACAAACAGATTCAAAGGCTAGATTCATGCAACTTGCTCACAAGGCAGCATAACTAGTTTTCCAACACTTTTTTCTATTAAGTTTTGGAAAACTAGTTATGTTGCATGTTGCATGAATCGGGCCTTTGAATCTGTTTGTCACCATACCCCATAAACATATATAATGTCCATTTGTAAGTCGCATCAAGTAACTGATGATATGCAAAAGAAATGTTGCTGCAGCAGACATCTTGCATAATCCTGCTGGCCTCTTTCAAATTTATTTGAGGAAATCATTGCTTCAAATAAAGTAAAGCGACTGTAATTCAAAATGTTTACTGTTTCGACCGCGTCCTGGACGCGGTTCTTCGCTGCGCTTGGTAATCCTCGTCAAACTTTGTCAATGGATCGGGACGCATTAACGACCTGCATAGGATGATCTGGCTCATCAAGGGGCAAATACATCGTGCTCGTAATTATCTTAATTGTTCGTTAACAGTGGCGATCGTGCTTATCAATTTCTTTGGAACCTTAGTCTTCGCGAATTTTCTATTCTCACTCCAACACCGTATCGAACATTCCAATCATGTCCTCACTCCATCCAAATGGGCGGTCACGAGACAGCAACCGAAACTGGGGCACAAAAGTGCATGATTAAGTGATGCAAAAGATGAACTGGTTTGATGACTCAACTAAACCGAGTGATTTTCACAACCGCGATCAGATAAATCGCCTGTTGGCGTGGTCAATATATTTAGCCTTACAGGAACTGAAGGAGTCTTCCGAACCCGACAGTTCAGTCGGAAGCACTCAACCGGTTGGGATGTATATCCAATTTTTAGTTGTGCCGTATGGTATATTCTACTATTTACTGCATCTGATAGCCGTTTATGCTGTCGTATCTCCTTCGAACGTCAAATGAACGTATACAAGCTTGATAACTGTCTTTGCTTCTTTTCGTTCTCCCTAATGTTCTTGCATTGTTTTATCAATAAACTGTTCGGGGCAGACGTTTTCTACGGAAACGCTCTGTCAAAACGGAGTTCATTATCCATAGTGTCTGCCGTGTAAAGTTTATCTGCCCGATTGATCACGCAAGATTGTGGATTTATCTACCTTTGAAGTGGGATAATAGAATGAAAATGCGTTCCTCATTACCTTCCTATGCATTGACAACTGAACAAAACTGTCACTCCAGTGGCTTACGAGAACGTCTAGAAATGCTTACCGATTGCCCTCTGCTTTTTCCAGGTTAAAATCCATGTTTGGTCGAGCAGTGTTGAAGTCTACCACCAATCGATTTTTATCCCCATTTGCATCTACCACACGTAGTACATCATCAACGTACTTTTCACATGAAATGTACTATCTGATTGAGAACCAAAGATGGTAGTTTTCAAGTTTATCAACAAAATTATCTGCCAATGATGGTACTGAGGGCGACCCAATTGCAACTCCATCCTTCCGACCATTCACTGAATTGAAACGGGGTGGTATGCATGCATGCAAATAGTAATTGTCTCAGATTATCCGGTAGACTGCCCATATTGACGTTCTTCTCCTGAATAAATCAGCACATGTAATTAGTGTCTTCAACAATTGACAGTTTTCTAACCAGTGTAATGGCGTTGGATGAAATCATCGTTCTACCTTTCAGATTTAGGTTCATCAAAGTTTCCTTCGAACGAAGGTTGCCTTGTCTGGAAATCGTGATTCTTACTTGTTCTAGTGTGCTTGCTAATCACTTTGACACTTCCTTATACTGAAAGTCGCCCATATCCACATTCTGTCTCATGAGAACACCATTTTTGTGTACTTTCGGGATCGAGGGGGATGCATACAATCTGGATCATATGGTCTCGAACGTTAGCGCATCGGTTAGTCTATTTTGTTTCAGACATTGTAATTTCATGCAAAAAGCCTTTCTAGGTTACTCACCCAGTCGTCTTGAGTTGGAGTCTTTGCAAACCTGAATTGATCATTCCATGTTGTTCGTTTCATATCCACGTAATCAGACTCCCATAAGCGAAATGCTCACGTATGTCTCGTCTGAATAGCATCAATTCGCTATTGACCTACAATCCTTCCAAGTGCTACAACGTCAAAAGTAATTCTATGGATGGTGTACTATCGCGAAGTTGGTTACATTCGTTTGCAAGTGTAGATTTCAGTTTCTCTAACTCCTGGAGCCAGATATTAGTTTGACAGCGGAATTCCTTTCCTCTATACATTAACATCGAAACTTCTGCACGACAGATTTTGGACAAATATATTCGAATCTGATGAAAACTCTCCAATCGGTTTGCTTGGGTTGACAGGTTTTCCTAATGGCACACGTATCCACTCGACTTGCTTGTCTACTATCGATTGGATGTTTGCAACGGCTTTCCCCTTCTCTTCCGAGATCGGTTTGTCAAAAGCGCCTCAACAACATTTAACGCTTTGTTGAATTTCGCCCGCACACACACCATCAGGTTGTCGCACACCCCTCCTTTCATTCATATTTAATTCCATGTAATAGCAGGTTTATAAATGATTGGAAACGATCTTGTTCACTGTGTTTTACTGTTCCAACTAAGACAACTGAGTCATGGACAGTACTGACATGGATAAAGCTTGAACTTGAAGTCATGAAAATTTTGTCTTTTTAAACACGTTTTCAGAAATCTCTAAGTTTAACTATTGCTCGGTAGTTATTCCTCGAGCATACCACTTGTTTATTATATTTATGATGTTTGCATATGTGGATACTATATTAAACCTCTTCTCCTTGAGTGCGGAACTCCTCTGGGCCATTCAATTTCATAAAATCTTAAACTAATCAGGATATTTTTTGATCGGAGTGCCCATGTCAGGATAGCGCCTGCGATCAAGAATAACGATTTTGTGGTTTTTTTTGTTCAACTTGTCTAGTTTGGGATACGTTAAGCGTCTATCGCTGCAAAATTGTGCATGGTAAACGTGCGGATTCCTCGTCTGACAAATTCATGTGACGCCATGCTGACAGTAGTCATATGATCTTAACACTAGGAACGACCTTGATGTGTGTGTGTGCTGAGATGTCAAATGAGTCAGTCGAAATCAGTATGAAGCACGTTGTTCCTGAAGAAACTTATTGATATCGCTAAGTAGAGAATCGATGCATTTGGTGCGATCAAATGCAGCATATATCAGCTGGATAAATAATACAACAGCTCCAGGTCCATTGTGGCACGATACCTGAAGCAGAAACAAAGGAATCAAGGAATGAAACGGATTTAAGCGTTCTGTAGACGATAGGTTGAGGCTGATGCCTGCGGCTTCAGACTGGTTGAGTCGTTCTTTCTGTAGGAAAGAGAAAACTTGCCTCAATCAGAGCCATCCAACAAACACTCAGAATGATTTCATGAATCAAGTAGAGGAAGAGGATAAGAAAGTGCATAGCTAAAACAGCACAGGCTACGGGCTGAAGCACGTAAAATAATGCAAATAAGTTGAATTGACGTGTCATGGTCTCTACCCTGTTCCCTTTCACCATACACCTTAAAAAATCAGTCTGTCTTGTTTTCCTCGTTGATCGACAAATCATGTGAAACTGTTGGAAATAAATTCTTCTTCCTTTCTGTTAATCACGGACACATACCGAAAACAACACTAAAGTTAAAGTATCTTGGCGCCATAGTATCACATAAATTATGATGAACATGCACTTTCAAGTTCTATTCCGTAAAGTTATACTTCTCGTTCTGCTTGAGGGTGCCTTGTGTTCCCCACAAGTTAATTTTTAATCTTGTGAATACATGCCTACTCCCCTATCTGGCTGTATTGCTCCCCAGTTATTTCCCCTGATCTTTTGCAAAAACATTCACTCTGCTCAGATCCCCAAAACACACCTGCTAAGTGAAGCAACATCACTACAGACGCATACCGACTCCATCGTTGACAGACAATGCATTTTATTTCCCAACTACCCTCAGACGCTCACCATTCAGCATACAATAAACTTAAAAAAGCTATATCCAAACCATCTACAAACTGAAAGTTCACGCTTTTATTGTTTCGTATCTCAGCATATCGTGATTCCGTTTTATACCAAATCTCACACATCTGCTTGTTGACAAGTAGACATTTTCAACTGAATTGTGTTATCACTTCAATGACAAAGCTTCATGAGGTTACTACTGATTGGGCATGATAACCGGAACTGCTTATCAGTTGCTTTGTTCTCATCGCCTGCCACTGGAAAATTTCCTCACAATTACAAATCTCGTCTATTTCTCTCAATCGTTTTTCATTGGATCATTAAAAAAGTTCCTAATAGACTTTACACGCTATCCTCCTTTTCTATTTTTTTTTTCAGAATCCATCTATAGTCCTGTTTCATTACCTGAACGTTCCATCTATCACCAAAGATGACAAATTGTGCCTGCCACTTCCGGTGCTCAACTCGAACGATGATCATAATATGAGTCGTTCGGAAGTGGCTGAACAGCTCGCTCGGATGTGTATGTTTTATCAAACTCCATCATCATGTTTCGTTTCATTCGGGGTTGCTTTCTATCTATAATGCTTAGTTTCAAATAGTTAGAAGTAATATGCTTGTCAAGAGAGTATCTGTGACAACTGTACCGCGTAGATTCATTCCAATTTTGGTCACCGATATGAAGAATATATTTCGGGGTTGCCTATTTTATTCTTAAATGTTATAAGTGGCTGTTGATGATGATAGTTCTCATAATTGTACTTGCTATCACTAGCGTATACCAGCTCGTAACGTCTTAGGTTCGAATCTCCTCCCATCACCACCAGCGCTCATGATAAAAAAGTATGCTGTTTAGCTGCCCGGTATCATGCCCATTCCACTGGGCTTTTTCCGCTCAAAGCCCCAGTGCTTACCGGTTATCGTACCCTAGCAGGTGATCTTGGTAACGATGGGGTTCATACGTTCCGTTCATCCGATAGTGGCTGTTAGTCGTGTAACCAGTTCTCCGTCGTCCCTTCATGCCAGCTATCTCAATCCAGCACCTTCAATCTGTATCGCCATCTTCGATCTTCTTTTCCTCGTTCCAGTCAATTGTGCTCCTGGTGGTTTGGGAAAATCCACGTGACACGTTTGTTGACCACGACTGTAACAGAAAAATGATTGTCTTGATGACCTGCTTACTTTACAACTCGTCTGTGACTGTATTCATTCCGGATGTACATTCACTTATGAGTAGAGCAAGTCACAACCTTTTTTGAGCTTGTGCTTTTCTGTAGTGGACGAAAAATCCAAGTGACATCAAATGCGTCCATATATATATATTATATATATATATATATTCTCATCTTCCTGAAGCGATCCTAACTATTATGGTTCATTCGATAACTGATGTGTTGTTTTATTACTCCTAGGTTCTGTGGGAATCGGCTTCTCTGAATGTCCATTTTCCCTCACGTTTCCCTTTATCCTGTTCCCGTTCTCATACCTGCCTACTCTCATTTACTACTTTCCAGTCGACCATTTCCCACGCTGTCTGTCCCGTCCCCAATCCGATCGTTATTTGCAATTTGATGTGAGTTATCTGTCCGCTCATTCACTCCTTCCCCCCTCATGCAGCTTTTTGTGTCAGTTGCATATGAACGTAATGATTTTGAGGCTGTTCGTTCTTACCGTCATATTCCCGTGCACCATAACGCATCAACCCGGTTATCTTTTTTCTCTTTCTCTCAGCTCATATGTGGGTCTAGTATGCATAGATTGTCATACAAGTTTCCCCAGTCTCTCCAACACACCCTTACCGGTGATTGATCGCTGTAGGTCGTAATCGCGACGGTATACGGCACGCAATGGGACCGGATTCACTGTGGTTTGTCATTTGCATCCATACCGACAGTTAACCCAGTTGTACCCAAATTCCCCCAGGGACGGATCCAATGGACTATGTTATATGCCGTTCTAAAGAGGCAATTGGACCTACAGAACACAGGGGACCGTAGACAATCTGAATTTAGCACTGACTGGGCAATAGAATCGAACACTTCTTTATTTCCCGTGTACACCATTATTTAGTACACGGAGCATAATCAATACCTCTGCTTTTCAGCTTGTTTATGCAATGGTCATCATCCTTGCATCACCACTACTTCAGCCGCTTGTGTTCGGCCTTATGTAAATTTTGGATGCATAATGTGTTCAAAAGACTATATGTTTTTGTGAAGATAACAGTTTCAATGAAATAGCACTGATCTATGTTATAATGAATGATATTTGGCTGGCACGTAAACCAATGTAGTAAGAAAGAAGTATACGAATTCAGAGAGACACGGTTGGAAAACGAACAAAAATGAGATAAGTTCAGGTCCGAAGATAACATCTCTTCCAGGGGATTTGAGTACATCTCACGTGAGCACTCTCTTTCTCTGATGAGCATTTCCCAATTTATCTTCAGTTGCATATCAGGAAGTAATTAAGTGAAGAGCTCGTCGCGTTGAAGCATTAAGTTGGCTGTATGGATGCGATTTTTCTTAGCTTGATACTAGGGACGATTTTTGATATTTGTATAACGATTGTATGGATAGAATTTCTGTAAACCGTATCACCAAGCTGGCGACCCTGGCCAGCCATCAAATACCTTTGTCAAGCTGTTCTACCTTCATCCCTTATTCGAATTCTCATTCGCTGTACTTTCGCTAGCAAAAGAGTGGATTAGGTAGCTGGGCGTATAAATGACGAACAAAAAGATACAAATGGGATGCGAAAATCCCTCGTGCGTCGAGGGTGGGGACAATTTTCATGAATGATCCAATTGTATGCTCACTACCTTCGCAAGACATTTACTTTGTACATTTCTGTTCCAAAACTCGCCCTTTTGCTTTCTGGATCATTGAAGTGAATATTTGTTACAGGATCGAAAAGAGCAATAATAGGGTGTACTTGTTAGCACTTTACATTAAGTGGGAAAGCAGCCCGTGACAGCACTGTTACACGCGTGGGCGAATTAATCGTTTAGAAAATGACAGCGAGCAATTACGCGCATCTAGTGCTTCGAAGTCGCGCTGATTCAATCAATGCGATTGTCTCGTTTATTAACTGCCAGACGTTCGACCAAACACACAACGGCATTGTCCGGACAACTCTGTTTATCTATCCATTCGCCCGGTGTTTCTCGTGAGATCCCTTGATCCGATGGCATCGGTTCGTTCCTCAACTGTGCACTGGGAATTTTTCTCCATACAAAATCTTTTCAAAAGAATGGTATAGGCACATCGTGCATACAATTATGCGTCCGATCCGTTTGCACCGATTCATATAACCCATATGAATCAGTGATGATCGTGTTTCGCATCATTTTGAACGTTTCCTTGACAAAGGTTGCCCACTGCTAAACGTCCATACACACAGGATATCGATATTGCTGAGTTCAGTTCATTTTTCACAGCCATTCACCTCGTGCAAGGTCTTAGCTTGACCACCCTTGACTTTTATCCACCCACTATCTGCCTTGGCAAACATCGTTCACCGAGGCAACTTATTTGATGACATACGTAACATGCCTCAACCAATGTAATCTATGGAGGTCGACCCCAGACTCTAGTGGGCGACCGCGGTTACCCAAAACTCTGCGCCTAATCCCAGCATTGCTCGTCCCTTTGCCCCACCAGACTCGTGGAATGCTGCGTAGACAGCGGTGTTCGAACACCGACAATCTATTTTTATCTTGTCCCCGTAGTGGCCAAGTCTTTGCACCGTAGATCAAGACTGGTCCAACTGCTGCAGCATGTACTCGACCCTTCACAGACAGCCGGATGTTGCGACGGTGCCATAGATGTCTCAAGTTGGCAAATGCCAGGCGAGCCTTCCTTGTGCGCCGACGCTTCACTTGTGATGCTTCCATCAGGTGAGATATAGCTGTCCAGATAGCAAAACCTAACCACCTGCTCTATTACTTCCCCAGTTAAAGTGAGACTGGGTGCTGGACCAACCCAATCTTGGAGCAACATTTTACACTTTGAAGGTGTAAAACGCATACCGAACATGGCTACACTAGCACTCAAACTTTCCAGAATAGCTTGTAACTTACCTGGATCTTCACTCAATAGCACGATGTCGTCTGCATACTCAAGATCATACAGCCTGCCTTCTGGAGGTAAGTCGATGCAGCTGTTGTCGCACGAGGATAGGGCTATTTCCGCAATCTAATCTATAACAAAGTTAAATAGGAACGGAGAGAGAAATCCCGACGAACTCCACTTTCCGTGGTGAACTTGGGCGAAAAAGTGCCATAAACCCGGACCCGACTTCGGCTATTAGTATAAAACGATTGTAATAATGAAATTAATTTCTCGAGCAGCGCCAGAGTTTAGAGCGGTCGACTGAGTCAAAAGCCGCTTTCAGATCGAGGAAGACAGATGAAGGGTCTACGAAAGGAGTGTCGAAGCTCCAGAATTTGGCTGAAATTATCGAAGTACCCGTCTACAAGCCAGCATAAAGGATGCAGTTAGCATGTAACGACATTTCTCTTCGATGGGGTTCTTGATTCTCCAAAAACAGATTCAAAGATTTGTCACAAGATCGGGCTTGTGTATCTCCGTACTCATCCTTGCATGTGGTTATCCACTCTGACCAAGTTATGCAAATTGTATTGGCCTGTCGCCCAGTTTGTGAATGAGTGACTCGGCTATATAGGAATCTGAAGCACAAACTCCAGACTATAAATAACCAGTGATCTATGCGTGCTGGACGAAAGGATTTTTGAACAAGCGATTCACCATAATTGCATTTCTGTGATAATTCGATTGAACCGATACAAGGGGGATCGTAAACGCCAACGAGAATCGTTAGCACGGCAGTTGCTCAAAGAAGTTCTATGCGTGTACAACAATGGCATCACTCAGCGGTTAGAGACCACTAATCACAGTAGCTCAATGATAAAATGTGTTCACTGGGTAACACAGAGACCACCTACTCGTATGGGTCAAACTCGTACCGGATGGAATGACAAACAATGCGGGACCTCAGTGAACAGTTGAGTCGTTTTTAAACTATCAAATCAGATGATCAATGTTTCACATAAAAGCGTTATTATACTTGAGAAAAGTACATTCTATGGAATGTGAGAACTGTCAGGGGCAACATTTACCAATGTGTCCGGTACGTGACATCAAAAGTGTCATCAGGACAAACAGTGGATGTAAATGGAGTGGGTTTTGAAGTTTGGAACACAATATGTTTGGATCCAACCAGATCAGTTTTGTAGCCTAACAATGAACTTCCGGAACGAACAATTAAATAGATCTCTCAATCCTTTTCCGATAGCCGACAGAATTGCTTCAGAGCAAGCCCTTACTTGTGATAACTGATTGCAGCGTATTATCATTATGATTAAAACGATAATCTTTTACATCCTCAAATGCTTTACACGTTATACTACGAATGTTATCATTGACGAACAGTTAAAACAGTTTTGGTTTTATCACAGTCCAATGAATACCATTCGTCGTGTTGATGTTAACTGTCTATATCGTACGCCATACTTAGAGATCTGTTTCTAAATGGTAGACTAATTCGGGTGGACTCGTTCAATGTTATCTGCTCTCATTTTGTCTTATTGCACCCAGGTACAATCTATCCAATCCACGCTGCTGAGCGCGATCTACCATCGAAGGGACAATTTGCTTTCCCAATCCGTCATTTCGCATCCTGGCTCTCAGTCAACCACTGATTGTGCCAAGTCCACTTCGTTTCTGTTCATCTCTCCTATTATTTGCTCCCCTATTCCAACATCCTCGTCTCTTCCTTCCGCTTACTTTCCTGAACTGAGTAAAAGGCACTCAGCCGCACAACCGGTAACTGCATCTTCTGAATCGACAACATGCGCAAAAGCGTCAACTAAGACAGCCTTTTCCGCTTTTCCTACATCTGCTGACGTATCCGGTGAGTTAGTCTTTCATACCAACCGGTTGGTCCCAATAAATTCAGCGATTTATACTTCGGCGTTGAGTTGACGTTTTTGAGGTTAGTAGATTCCAATCCACTAAATATTATTTAGAATCATTGATGTGATTCACAAATTGACAGCATAAGAACAGCTTTTCCGAAAAGTACTCCCCGAGGTACAGAAAATAG